GGGGTCCAAGATTATCTTCTGTGTCTGTGTTAATTGGTTTCCCTTTTCTTTGTTGAAGAGGGTCTGTGCAATCCTTCTGCCTAGTCCGCCATCTTGCCCCCCTCCCCTCGTTACCTTGTATCTTGATTTTCAAGCAGGCAATGGTAGTTTATCACCTTCCATGTAGGAGTTGTTGCTGTTGTCAGTCACTGTCAAGTTGATTATGACTCACTGCAACCCCATGCAGGAGAACTGCATTCAGTTTTCTGGCCAGTGTACCCTCATGTGCAGCTACTGCTCATCTGTCATTGAAGCCTTGTATGTTGCTATGATGCTGAACATGTTTCATTGGAGCTTTGAGACTGTAGGGGACTAGGAAGAAAGACCTGGCTATCTACTTTAGAAAATTAGGCAATGAAAGCCGTATAGATTATGGCCTAATCTTTACTGAACGTGGGGATGGTGCAGGGCAGTGTTTTGTTCCATTGTACTTGGGTTTGCCTTGAGTCAGGGGCCGACTCCTTGGCAGCTAACAACAACCTTTCAATACTCAGCCAGATTCTCCTGACAGTTACTGGCACCACTATTCTTTTATTCCCTTAATCCAGGGATTAGAAACCATAACCTTTGAGCCAAGTCCTGCCTGCTGTTGTTATTAAGGAAATTTTATTGAGACACAGCCATAATCATTTGTTTAAGTGTTGCCTGTGGTTGTTTTTGCAGTACAATGATAGAAGTAAGTACAGTTGCAACAGAGACCTGTGGTGTTTAGACATTATTTTTCCTTTCCTTTCCTGGCATGTCACCTGTACATCTCTGTCACTAAGGGTATTTTACTACATGTTGCATTTTTTTTTTCCTGTGTTTTTACATCTCATCCATTATAAACCATAAGCTTATTGAATGTAAGCGGCATGTCTTCCTCATTACAGTGTTCCTGAAACACTACACTATGATGTTTTGAATGTGTTTAATATTTTAATCATTGAATTAATTACAGGAAGCAGACTTTTAATTTGATCTGAATTATTAATAATCTCAGGATCTTTCTTAGATGTTTGACAGTGTTTTTAGGTGTTATAAGATAAAAGTTTTGGAGAAAGTAGATGTTAGTTCTTTGTGTAGGTTGTTAATGAAAATGGAAAGATTTTTTTTTTCATTTGATAAGGTATTTCACCTTATTTTATTGCAAGTATTTGTGTGCTGTGATGTGCTTGGTACTGATCAAAAAAAGGAAAACCATGTGGCAGAGCTAGGTAATAATGTTTTTGAATTTGTTATATAATCTGCTAGTCAGACTTTTTTTTTTAAATTCTGTTAACAAGTTTTTTTTTTTTTTTCCTCCTCCAGGACTCTAAGTGATAAAATTATATCCCAGTGCTCTAATAAGTTATTGAAACACAGGTGGTGTTAAACTAGTGTTTTATACTTTGCCTATTGATTCATTTAATTATTTTCTGCATACTTCCCAGTAGGTTTGATGTGATGAAGTTGATTATACTTAGCTAGTTCTCTTAACCCCAATTTTCTTTTGACTTCCAGTTCTAAATCTGTGCTTTTAAAAAGCTGACAAATAGAAAAATGTCTGCCAGGTAAAGAGATTTTCACTTCATACTAGTATAACATAGAAGTCCTATGTCTAGGAACTCGGTTACTGAGACCCTCAACTTCCTGAATCTGTTTCAGAAACTCACTTTGGTACATAAATCTCAGTATCCATGCATCTAAAACAGCATTACAAAACACTCCAAAACTAAACATAAGTTGATGAAAAGTAGCTGGCGACTTGACAGTTTAATTTAAAAGTAGGCAAAGAATAGGATTAATTTCTAGGACTAGATTTAAGCTCTACTCTGTATAGTTTGCCAGCACAAAATCAATGCTTGTTGAATATCCGTGTGCTTGAACAAATGAATAATATCTGCCTAAAAATATATTCCATCTCCTTCTTAGGTAAATAAATGCTTGGTAAGGTATAACCAGATGTGTATACCTTTGATTCAGCAGTTCTACTTCTTAGGAATTTGTGTTTGGGAAATAATTAGACAACTGAGCACAGATTTCATATCTAGATTTCTATAATCTACAAATGTTTTTTGAAATCCTCAGATCTTCAAATGGTATTCATTATAAATCCATTTGTAATATGGAAAAAGTAGAAATAACCACTACGCCTATTAGAACAAGAATGATGAAGTTATCATAATAGAATACTTTGTTTAAAATGGTTGAAGTTGATCTGTAGGTAAAAAGATACACAAGATGTATTAAATTTTAAAAATGCAAGTTATAGAACAAAATGCCATCTTATCTTTGTATGTTGTTTATAAATAGTATGATATATGTTTGTATGTCTAAATATATATGAATATATGTCTATTTGCACATATATTCTTGCACACATGAGGGGTGATCTAGAAATAAAGCATAAATAGTCAATAACTCTAGGTAGTCTATGGGGAGTAAGATTGGGGAGGTATGCAGATTACAGTATATGAGGTATTCTGTTATTTCTCCTGTTTCAATTTTTATTTTTAAAGACTATTTTACATTTATATGAGACAAAAGACTGGTAGAGAATACATTAAATCTTAGGATCATTTTCATTTCTATTTAAAATAACTGACTGAAGGGTTAACTTGTCTTCTGGAAAATGTGGTTTTCAGGAATGATTCATTTCCTTGAGAACTCTGTATAAGTAAAAAATTTTGTAATGAGAAGATAATGAAAGATTATCAGATTGGACTGCTGTTATGGTATAATAAATAGACACATAGTATAGAAATCTTATTATAATGTATTTTCTTTAAGCAGTTGTAAGAAAACTTGTTTCATGCTAAGTGAACATGTTATTATTTGGAGAATTTATGTGCATTGATACCAGTTTTCAAAGGGACATACACTTGTGCACAAAAGAATTCTCACTGTTTTCTCTTCATTTCTCTAGAAAAGCTCAAGAAGAGAACAAGAAAATAGTGCTAGCTGGATGTGTTCCTCAAGCCCAGCCTCGTCAGGACTACCTTAAAGGACTGAGTATTATAGGGGTAAGTTTGTACCTGATGATGGGAAAAGGAAAATCTTATTTTGTTAATGCCTGTAATACCTACACATTTTATTTTATATTTCTAAGTTAATATCAGATTATTGTTATACTCATGATTGTTCTAAACAGACTTTCCCTATCATGCCTCAATCTTCATCATGTCTATAACTTTATTATCTGAGTACAAAAACATGTTCTAGGTCATCTCGTATTTTTAAAAAAACAACACAAAGGCCATAGTGTGGCTCTGGTAGCACAGTGGTTAAGTGCTCAGCTGTTAATCTAAAGGTCGGCAATTAGAACCCACCAGCCACTTTGTGGGAGAAAAGACCTGGTGATCTGTCCTGGTAAAGATTTCAGCCTAGGAAACTCTGAGGCAGTTCTCCTCTGTACTGCAGTGTGTCTATGAGTTGGAATCAACTTGACAACTCACAGCAGTAATAACAGTAGTACCCTGGGTCCCTGGAGCGGTGATGATTTGCACTAGGCCACTCCTCAGAAGGAAGGTTGGGCAATCTACTTCCGTAGTGATATTGCCTCAGAAACCCAAGGAGGGGTCCCTATGAGTTGGGTCCGACTCGACAGCAAATAACAACAAAAACATTAACCTGAAGGTTGGCAGTTCAAACTTATAGAGTGGCACTGCAGAAGAGAAGCTTGGCAAACTGCTACTGTAAAGATTATCATCAAGCAAACCCTATGGAGTTTGTAACTCTGTAACACATGGAATTACCATGAGTTGTAGTCAACTGAAACAACTGTTTGGTTTTTGTTTTTGTTTTGTAATAATACCCTGGTCTTTGCCCGTTTGCCCAGTGTCATCCCTTCCCATGTTATTATTATTCTTACCTCATTGAACTGCTTGTCATTCATTGCCCACTGCATAGATACCTATTTTGGAACCTCCACCTCCCTCTTACTAATGGCCCAAGTCTTAGCTCTACCATTATGCATTCTGTAAGGCCCCCTATGACCACTCTGTGCCTGGATAATCCTATCTCTGGTTCCCTTTGCTTACTGAACAGTTCTCTGTCATTAGCTCTGTTAGCACCTCACATAGCTATGATTTTAGTTACTTATTAAACCAAAAGTAAACTCACTGCCATTGAGTTGAGTCCAGCTCATAGAGACCCCCATTGGGTTTCTGAGGTGATAAAACTTTGTGGAAGTACATTGCCCCATCTTCCTTGTGTGGAGCACCTGGTGGGTTTGAACCACTAACCTTCTGATTGCCTTAGGCACTATGCCACCAGAGCTCCTTTTAGTTTACTTGCATTATTTTTTAAATAAAACCTACCTCTCATTATAAATCATAAGCTTCATGAGGACAGCTCTTCAGCTTTTCTTTTTCACTCTCATCCTGCTCGGGAGCTCTGGTAGCATAGTGGCTAAGACACTTGCCTGCTAACCAGACGGCTGGCGGTTCAAACCCACCAGCCACTCCTCGGAAGGAAGGTTGGGCAATCCTACTTCCGTAGTGATACTGCCTCGGAAACCCAAGGAGGGGTCGCTATGAGTCGGGTTTGACTCGATGGCAAACAACAACAACAACAACAACCTGCTTCCCTAGCCTTTTCCACGATGCCCGACATACAGTTGGTGCTCAATAAGCATTTATCAACACAAAGACTGAGTGAATGAATTGTCCCATTGTATTTTTGTAGTTGGCATAGTTTTTTCCTACTGGACAGTCACATTTGTGATGTTAGGAGGCTGTTGTCTCTCCTCATTGTCTTAGTCACTATTCTCAAAACACCTGGACATAGTTGGCCTTCATTCACTGTTCACCGCGCGAGGGCCCTGCTGCTGCTTCTCCCCATTGCGCTGCAGTTGTACTCAGCTCACCAGTGATCTCCTTTAACAAAAGGCTTTATTAGTATTTTTTTAAAAAACATAAGAACATTTATTCATAGAAAGAAACTTACATGAATACTTGGCATTTGGATTGAGATTTTTAAAGGGTTTTTCCTTATTTGATGCAATACTGACAGGTTCTTAGATTGTGTTCTCATTGTAATGAACTTGTTTTTTGCTGTAAAATCCTTGCCCTGTTAGCAAATTTAATAATCTTTGAAAAAACATCCTCACTTTAAACAAACAAAATCTGAATGTTTGTTAACTTTAGTTTGTTTTCACCATTTGTCTGCTTACATTTTGATTTTTCTTGGTTTAAGGAATGAAATGAATATGGGACTCCTAAGTTATCTTTTCATGTCAGACTTGCTTTCTCCATAAACAGTCCTGCTGTGTTAGGGAAATAGGAAACTACTTAGAACTCTGTCTTAGAGATGGAATGTGGTAAAAGCTTGGAGTTCATTTTAGATTTTATCCCAAGGACTTAAGTTACTGGAATAGCAGAATTTCGATTGTAGGGCAAAAGCTTCTCTTTGTACATTGTGGTATCTTTTTTTTTTTTTTTTAAACTCCCATTATGTGCAGGGAAGAGTTTTGTGTCTGTTAAGATGTAGGAAAGATCTCAAGACAGTTTAAGGAGTACTCAAACCAAACCTACTGCCTTTGAGTCGATTCTAACTCATAGTCCACCCCTATAGGGCAGAGTAGAACTGCCCCAAAGGATTTTCTAGGCTGTAAATCTTTGCAGAGGCAGGCTGCCTCATCTTTCCACTGTGGAGTGTCTGGTTGGTTCAAACTGCTGACCTTTTGGTTAGCAGCTGAATACCTTTACCATTGTGCCCCTAGAGCTCATTGTAAGGGAAGACAGCAGTACTGGTAATATATAAGATGAAGATATGGCTGTGGAACTGAAGAATAAACACTTGTTTTTCTGTTTAATCCAGCACCCTTTTTGTTTTTTCACATAGTCTTGATTTATGACCATTAAAATTCTTTGCATTTAATTTTATTTTACTCCTTTATAATTGAAGAAATAGCATATTTTGAAAAATGAAGGGAAAGAAAACTCCTGACTTTATCCTTCTGTCATGGTAGTGCAAATGGTTAAACACTTGACTACTACCCAGAAGGTTGGTAGTTCGAACCTACATCAAGGTGCCTGGGAAGACGAGCCTGGTGTTCAGCTTCCAAATGGTCACAGCTTTGGAAACCCTATGGAGCAGTTCTACATTGCACACATGGGGTTGGCATGATTTGGAGTTTTCCTGGACAGCAACTAACAACAACAAACATGGAATTATTATAACTTTGCTTATCCCTTTCAGACTTTTAAGCTTTGCATATTTTACTTACATGTAATCTCAAAAGGGGAGCCCAGGTGCACAGTGGTTAAGTACTTGGCTGTCAACTGAAAAGGTCATAGTTCAAACATAACACCAGCCTTGATATGTCACTCTGTTTCTACAAAGGTTTACAGCCTAGGCAGCCCTGTGGGGCAATTCCTCTCTGTCCTGTAGGTCACTGTGAGTGGGAATCCACTCAATGGCTGTGGGTTTGTAATCTCAAAACTATTTTGTATCCATCTTCCATGTTATTCCATGAGCTTTGTAACCATTTTAAATCCTGTACGATTGTTATATTGAAGGATATATATCCCAATTTACTTAACGATTTCTTAATTACTGGATATATTTTGTAATTTTTAGAAAACATACATAACACAATAATACCCGCAGTGGACTTTTATTTTAATGTAATATGATTAAATTATGAAAGATTTTCTGAAGTGAATCACATTATCATTAGCAACATTTCAGAATTCTAGTTCAATTGTATCTTCACCAGCAATTTTATTATTACTATTAAACATAAGATTATTCTCCATGAACATAATTTTATAGGGTTTCCTCACCCCCCATGGAAGCTATATGACAATATATTTATCATCACTGACTCTTTTTATATTAAAATTATTTTCACAGAACAGCAAGTAGCTTTGGAAAAAAATTTGGCTTCCAAAAAACCAAAATCATTCATAATTTGAGTGTTTGGAGAGATTTGTTTCTATATACAATTGTTAGAATTGCTATGAAATAAAAAACCTGAAATACTTTGTATTACAAAAAATAAATTGTATTGGTTTATACCATCTTCACCATAACAATTCTGACATGGTAAATAAAACAAATAGGAAGATGTTGAGATTCAGTGACTTGGGAAAATATTTTTAGGAGGACGTTTGGAATTGTGCTGCATATTTAATTTATAGTGTGAGTAGAGAATGTTATTCCTTCACAGAATTTCCCTCACAAAATTTCTTTGGTGGAGGACCTTAATGGAGATGCTTGGAAGAACAGTTGTAATTCTTTTCTGTGCTTTCATTGCCTCCTAGGATTTGTCTGTATAACTCACACAGTACAAGGAGGACGTGTCCATTTTATTGACTGAGTATGGGAAATAAAAAGCTGCCTTTAGATGGGGCTCAATGGATGAGAAATTACTTATATAGACCTGAATTAAAGGACGTAATGCACCCCTGTTGAAAGTGCTCATGCAATAAGCATGTAAGAAGATACTTAATAGGAAAGAAAGGTGCCCTGGTGACACAGATGGTTAATTGCTCTGCTGGTAATCCAAAAGGTTGGCAGTTCAAACCCATCCAGTGGCTCTGTGGGAGAAAGACCCGAGGATGTGTTTCCATAAATATCACAGCCATGAAAACCTTATGGAGCATTTCTACTTTGTAACACACGGGGTCACCATGAGTCAGAATCAACTTGACAGCACCTAATAACCACAACAATAGGAAAGAGAAGTATTACTGCCACTTTTTAATATGTTAATTTCTATCACTATTAGCCCTCAGAAATGGAGCATTTAATTTGCATTAGTCATCAGAGATAGCAATAGATAAAGGCACATGATAATCAGTGTCAGCCTGATTTGAACTGTGAGCCTTATATTATCATCTGTCCAATTCTGTCCCAAAATTATCTAGTTGTGATTAATATCATTTGAATGGTAGTGAATGGAAAGAAAATAAGAATGTCAGAATCAGAAGTAAGACCTTTTAGTCTTTGGGTTTCGAAGAATTGACTTTGGTGGCAGTAACCTCTGAATTTCTCCCATCCTGGGACATAAATTGTA